AGAAAATACAAGACCTAATCAACCCAACTGACCAATGACCTTATTCTCTCTCTCTCATCAATCTAGTTTCCTATCCTCTACACCTGACCAACCAATCCCTAAAGCAGTAAAGCTTCATGTTGTATGAAACTCTCTACACATCTCTTTCCAAAGGTGATACATAGTGCTACGAGGTGACATGGGTATGACACGAAAAATTAAATCTCAACCCTTAAATCTGGTTCACTAAAAGCTAAAATATATTATCGAGTTACACATTTGTGCAGACCCTTATATACAATTTCCACTTAAGTGATATAGCTCTCATTATGAAAGTTCAATGGTACTCGACCATTTTACTCTACGTAACAATAATCACAATAATATTTGTAGTGCAATAAAAAAAATATGAAATTCATAAACTAGACAATTGTCTCATTTTACAAAAGCTAGTAAATTATAGTTTATAACTAGTCAATTGAATTACCAATCTGGCAATCTCGTATAAAGAGCCTGAATTGACTCAAGACAGATCAATGCAAAACTCTCCTGTGAAATTAATCAATCCAAAGTTTTTGTTTACAAACCAGCCAATTTAATTTAATTATCTCAAAATGACACAATTATGCGAAAGTATTACGACGAGCAAGGGTGGAAATCAGTACGGTATCGGTATCCCAATATCAAATACTGAAATCTCGTATACCGAATTACACTATCCCAATCTCAATCCCTAAATAATTTCGGTATCCCAATCTCAATCCCTAAATATTTCGGTATCCCAATCGGTACTTCGGTATCCCAATCGCTATTATCGAATATGAATTAATTACCATTGCAATTAATAATTAAATATATAAATTAGATTTGATTGTTTAATATAGGACAAATGAACTAAGCAAAGAGACTTGAGTTTGACTAGCCGCTAGGATATGGATAAGGAGAATGGAGGTGATGTGACATCTCAAGTTTTTGTCATTGGTAATCTTCAATTTGACGAATTGGAGGTTGAGAGAAGACTAATACTAGTGTTTGCTTTTTGGTGTTATAAAAATAACAGGAAATTGGTGGTTGAGAGTCGTGTAGTAGTGAATGAGATAGACTAGTTGAGAGGATAAAATACGAGGATTGTTATTTACCGCCTGTAGAATTACTAACTGCCGCCCACAATTTTAAAGTAAATGACATTTTTGCCCTCCTTCATATTTGTCACCCACCCCAATCAAAGCTCACATTCGATTGCTTTCCTCCCTCTGACCTCCAACATCGTTCCGGCCGTTTTCATCGCGTCCTCCCTTCATCGTCGGCCTTTAACAATAAATGGGGGAAGTTAACGTGGAATGCAATTATATATGTCCACTTTGCATGCACTAACGTTGGAAATATATTAATGGGAAACACAATCATAATTGAAAATAAAACATTAATCTCGTTAAACCTACCTTGTCGGCATCATCATCATCTTCCCGGCATCCCATGGATCGAAGCTCGCGCGCCTTCTTCTCGGCATCATCATCATCTTCCCGGCGTCGTCTGACGGAGATCAGCGGTCCGACGATGGAGTTCGGACCACGTCCGATCGGCGGCGTCGGACAGGCCGCCGGTGTTTTTCTCTCATTTTTTTTTTTAGCGAAAAATAAAGTTTGTTTTAGGGTTAATTGCATGGTTGGTCACTGAGATTATAAAAAACGTTCATATTTGGTCATTGGAAATATTTAAATCCAATCTTGGTCACTCAAATTAGTTAAATGGTTCAAGTTTGGTCACTCTCCGTCCAACTCCGTTAACTTTTGCTTACATGACAGTCAACTATTACAGTTGACCGTTAAATGTGTGACATGACAATTAAAAAATAATAAAATAAATAAAATTTAATTATTTAAAATTGACACGTCATTATTACACTATTATAAAAAAATCTTTTAGTTGTGGCCACCGTCACCGACGCTGGACGTGCTTCAGCAGCGTGGGGATCTGGGTTCGTTGCCACGACGGTGGAATTGACCGCCGAGAAATGGCTCACCGATCTCAAATCCATTCACCGGAGCAAGCAGGGAGGAAACATACAACGTCTCCGGCAAAGACCCTAGAGTTAATACTAACAATAAATTTACCTTAACGTCCTCGATCTCTGACGGTGAAACGGGTGGGCTGTCGGTGATTGAACCGTTGAGTGGGTCTCTGCTGTGTGAATGCCTGCTGGAAGTTCTCGGAGACACCTCTTGCGGGTGTCGGAAAAACAATTTATCAAGAACAAAACAGAGCAATGGACATTAGTCGGAAGGATTGATTTAATGGAATAATTTATTAATTTAATAAATAAATGGCAACTGAAATGTGTGGCATAGGTACTCTGTTTTTCTTCTTCTTATTCTTCTCTACTGTACGTTACGAAGAAGAGCAGAAAGGGGAAAAGAAGCTCACCGAGTGGGACAAGATACGGTCCATGACCATCCAGGAGGTCTCGGAGGAAGCGAAGGAGGAAGCAAACAGCGGCGGCACTGCATCCTCTCGTCCACCAGAGCCTTCGTCGTCGGGCTAGACACCACCACTCTACTTCTCTTCGCCGTCACCGATAGTCTGTATATCAACCCAATCGATCTAATTTCTTGTTTCCTCCAATTCGAAGAGATGCATGAGTGAAGGAAGTTGTTGTGATGAAATCGACCACCACTGCAAAACAGGGAACCAACAGCCACACAATTTCTTCTTCCCCGAACGCCTGACATCCTCTCCCTAGCACTCTCGACCGATCCGGACTCACCAGGAGCTGCTACGCCAAACATTGACCATCTTCGCTCAACCTTCCTCGCCATTTGGTTACGCCGCCGTTGAAAGCTGCAGAAATTAAGTTATTGGTTTGCTCAGCAATAGACGGCGGAGGAGGCAAATGACAAAGTTCCTGTTCATTCTCCCTTGCCTAGTCCCCACCGGCGATTCTCCTGGAAGAAGAAAAGATGGGCTTCTTTGGTATTCAACTCCTCCCATCAATTCACAGAAACACAGATCCCCCACTCTACTTTCATCGGTGACAATTAAAAGAATTTATTTTATTTTTCTATTATTTAATATTTGTAATAATGAGGTGAAAAATTAAAAAAATAAATTAAATTTATTTTATTATTTTTTAATTGCCACGTCACATATTTAACGGTCAATTTTAAGAGTTGACTGCCACATAAGCAAAAGTTAACGGAGTTGGACGGAGAGTGACCAAACTTGGAATGTTTAAGTAATTTGAGTGACCATGATTGGATTTAAATATTTCTAGTGACCAAATATGAACGTTTTTTTTAATCTCAGTGACCAACCATACAATTAACCCGTTTGTTTTATAAATTATAATTGTGATTAAAGGGAGTTAAGGTAAGATTGATTTTTCCATTGGACGTGATATTTTATAATTATTTAAAGGTTTATTTAAAATTATTAAATTCACCTATTGGAGAGGAAATTAAGAAAACCCTAAACTTACCTTTATTCACTAAATATTTTACGCAAAAATAAAAAATAAAAAAATACTTTAAGTGATTAAATTAAACTCAACTACTATTAAAACAGGTAATTATTTATTAAATTATGTTTCCCCTTGTAGCAATCAAAGAAGGAAATCATTAATAATAAAAAAATATTATTTATTATGGCTTAGACGTGATGATTATGTTTGCCCTAATTCCATACGTGTTTGATAATTATGTTAAAAAATAATATATTAATAAATTGTATTCCACCGTTAATCTAACTAATTATAAATAGTGTCTCGGGCAAAAAAGGAAATCCCTACAAATATTTGTAGCTTGTTAATTAGAGATAACATCATATAATTATTGGTAATCTTGGGTTAGATTTGTTCAACCGTGATTATATATATTTAACATAATAATATAATTATAAACCTTTAATCTAACTAACATACGAGTTCTTATTTATTTGAAAAAAATATATTGATAAATTATATTCCATACGTGTTTGAGTGTAATTAGGGGACGTGGGTTATTGCCTTATTGGGATGAATTTATTTCCGGTTGTTAATTAGGAAAATAATCATTAAATGCATTGAGAATAAATTACGTTGGGTTGGGTTGTTAAATAGGAAAATACAATTACAGATTGTTAATTACGGAAATTTCCTTCCGAAAACTTGTTACTCAAATTTCCTCTTCCGAAAACTTGCCTTAAAAAAATCTCTTTAATTTGCTTAATTATCGGATTTATAATTACTTAAAACAACATAACTTTTTAAATCCTAATTATGGTATTTTACATTTATTTAATTACTAAATAAATAATTAATAATTCAAATACGTTTTTTGAAGAAAAAAATAGTAACCGTCCGCCGCCGGGTCTCGGACCCCGTCCGCCACCAAAATTTGGACCCCGTACGCGTCCGGCGGTCGGACCCCGTCCGCCTTCGGCGAGCGTACCCCTCCAACGCCGGCGAGCGGACCCCTCCGACGCTGGCGAGCGGACCCCTTCGACGACGGCGAGCGGACGCAAAAAAAAAATGTTTAGCTTCTCGGCAAGCTGCTTCCTCGACAGCGACGACGACAACACCGCGGCGAATGGAGGGGTCGTCGGCGGTGGGAGCAACGGTGAAGGGGCCTGGTCGGCCGGTGGTAGGATTTTGTGGAAGGAGGAAGGAAGTTGGTCGGCGGCGATGGGTCAGATAGGTTTGAGTTAGTTGGAAGAAAGGCAAAATCGTCTTATATTTTAAAACCATGGGGGGCAAATAGTAAATACTAGGGCGGCAAATAGTAATTCATTAAAATACACACTAGATTATATTTCGATATTGTTTGGTATTTCGGTATATACTGATCTCAATCCCTAATACCAAATAACAATTGAAATTGAATCCCAATCCCATAATCCCCAATACCAAATAACAATTGAAATTGAATCTCAATCCCAATCACAATTCCAAAAAATTATACGTGCATTCGATTATACAAATTCGGTACAATATTCAATATATATCTCAAATACTAGTACCAAACTTCCGGCCCTAGCCCTAGCGACGAGGAAAGAATTCTAGAGGGTTCCAGTTCGCTCCATTCATCCATTGTATTGTTTGTAGGACAAAACAAAAGAAACGGTAATTGCAATTTGCAGGGGATGGACGGCGTGGATCTGGTGGAAGCTTCAAGAGCCAGGATCTCTCAACCCTTTTTTCTGCTTCCATCCTGCACGGCTGCCAGCCCTGAATCCATCTTTGTCATAAACCTCTCCTCCGGCTCTCCCTAAACCCTGATCCTCCCATCTCCCTCGTTTCTCTTCTCTTCTCTTCTGGGTAATCTTAGTCTCCACTCAATCTTTCTTGTGCTTTCCCATTTTCCAAGGCCGCAATTCAGTTACTTGCATGTGAATTCGTTTTGCACCACCAGTCACTGCGTTTATTTGCTTCAGGAATCACCTGCTTGCTTTGCTTCTGTATTTGTGTTGTATTCTGGTCACGGATGTTGTCCTTCCTTACCTTATGTGACAGTGACATGCTTGCAAACCCTGGTTTTCCTCCCTTACCTTATGTGACAGTGACATGCTTGCTAGCCCTGGTTTTCCTTTCTATGTCTACCTCAATTCCGCTGTTGCTTATTTTGTCTCAAAAGGATTGGCATCAGCCTTTTGCTCGTAAAGGTTTTAGGATCTCTTTGTTCAGCATTTTTCTCTCTTACTGTTGCTGAGGGATGATTCTCAGTCGCTTAGCATTTGCCTGCCCTCCACTTCTAATACGAGGATCTTCTCTGCTGTTGCAGATAAGATGGCTTCAACCTTCTCTACCATGTCCTCCGTCGCTGCCTTGTCTACCCGTAGCGGCCCCGCTATGGACAAGAGACTACCTTCTCCTTCAAACAAGTTGTCTTCACTTGCATCCGTTTCCGGGAGCTCATTCGGGAGAAGACAAAATGTTTTGTTGAGAAATTCACGTTTGCCTATGACTTGTAAGGCAGCCAAGGACTTGCATTTCAACAAAGATGGCTCGGCAATTAAGAAGCTGCAGGTGTGTGTTATCTTTTTCCCTATACTTGCACGGACTTTTAAGGATTCAAGGACATGTCTTCTGGGTTGTGCTTATGTGGTCTTGGATACCTCTTATCCTCGTTTATTGTGACATTGCAGTCTGGTGTGAACAAGCTTGCTGACCTTGTTGGTGTTACTCTGGGACCTAAAGGCCGCAACGTTGTTCTAGAGAGCAAGTATGGCTCGCCGAAGATTGTTAATGATGGTGTAACTGTTGCCAAGGAGGTAAGCTACTTGTCAATTGGCTTTGCTGTTTCTGCTTTCAGTTGGCCTTTTGATGTTATACTGACCTGAATTCAACTCTTTTGTTCAGGTCGAATTGGAGGATCCAGTCGAGAACATTGGTGCAAAGTTGGTAAGACAGGCTGCTGCTAAGACTAATGACTTGGCTGGTGATGGCACAACAACATCTGTTGTCCTTGCACAAGGCCTTATTGCTGAAGGTGTTAAGGTCTGTTTGGTTTCCTGGTGTTGATTTTCATTTTCAATCTAGTTTTGCTCGACCATATACCGACTTTTGAGCACCTTTCCTAACAGGTAGTGGCAGCTGGTGCAAACCCCGTGCTAATCACTCGTGGCATTGAAAAGACTACCAAGGCTCTTGTCAATGAACTGAAGTCCATTTCAAAAGAGGTAATGTGGATTGATGCAGTTGGCTTGATGTCCACTTTGTCTTGGCGTGCTTCAAGTAAAAACAAGTAGTGATGATTCCAGGTTGAAGACAGCGAACTAGCTGATGTTGCTGCTGTTAGTGCTGGCAACAACTATGAAGTAGGGAATATGATTGCTGAAGCAATGAGCAAAGTTGGTCGAAAGGGAGTTGTGACTTTGGAAGAAGGGAAAAGTGCAGAAAACAATCTCTACGTTGTTGAGGGAATGCAGTTTGACCGGGGTTATATCTCACCTTACTTTGTAACCGATAGTGAGAAAATGTCAGTTGAATATGATAACTGCAAGGTATTCAGGTTTACGATTGCCTGAACAAGAATATTGAGACGCGTGTAAGGTTGAATAACGGTGTTACATATGAGTTCTTTTGTGCTGCAGCTGCTTCTTGTTGATAAGAAAATAAGCAATGCGAGGGATCTTGTTAACATACTGGAAGATGCAATCAGAAGCGGATTCCCGATCGTGATAGTCGCTGAAGATATCGAACAGGAGGCTCTTGCGACGCTTGTGGTGAACAAGCTTAGAGGAGCACTTAAGATTGCTGCTCTGAAAGCTCCTGGGTTTGGAGAGAGGAAGAGCCAGTATCTTGACGATATTGCTATTCTTACTGGAGGTCAGTTTAAGTCCTTAGTGTTATTTTATTCTTCTTGCTAACTGCTGAGGCTGTCATTATATCAATTATTTTGAGGAAGTGTGGATTCCATTTATCAGGAACTGTTATCAGAGAGGAGGTGGGCCTTTCATTGGACAAAGTTGGCAAGGAGGTCCTAGGAACTGCTTCGAAGATTGTCCTTACTAAGGATACTACGACAATTGTTGGGGATGGGAGCACCCAGGAAGCAGTAAACAAGAGAGTTGCTCAAATTAGAAATCTCATCGAGGTTTATGTTGTTGCCAACTTCTCAATGCTGTCCTGCTTTGTTTTGTATATCTGTTCTTTAATTACTTGAGAGAGATGAACTGTTGCAGGCTGCGGACCAAGATTATGAGAGGGAAAAACTTAACGAGAGAATTGCAAAGCTGTCTGGTGGTGTTGCAGTGATCCAGGCATGCCTTCGATTAGTTTTCACTTGTACTTGGATCGTTGTAACCTCCCCTTGCTGTGATTATTATGATAAAGTGTATGTTGCTGATAGGTTGGAGCGCAAACTGAGACGGAGCTGAAAGAGAAGAAATTGAGGGTTGAAGATGCTTTGAATGCGACTAAGGTATTGTGTCTTTTACCAAAAGCGCTCTTTGCATATCAGATAACTGGCTTAGGAGTTGGATATGCTAATGTTTCGCTGTGGGGCTATATTTCAGGCAGCAGTGGAGGAAGGTATTGTAGTTGGTGGTGGATGCACTTTGCTCAGACTTGCATCTAAAGTAGATGCTATTAAGGACAGCCTTGAAAATGATGAAGAAAAGGTAGACTCGGCTAACTTAGTAGTGATAATCTTGTATGTGGAACCCCCCCTAGTTTGCAGTCTGGCTGAATATTAGATGTTTGCTTACTTTGGCCGTAGGTTGGAGCTGATATCGTGAAGAGAGCTCTGAGTTACCCTTTGAAACTTATCGCCAAAAATGCAGGAGTCAATGGCAGTGTAGTGAGCGAGAAGGTAATATTAATATAACAATGTTGCACCTTTGTTTACTTGGAGCTCTGATACCATGAAATGATTGAATGCTGATGTGTGCATGTAACACAATGAAATACAGGTGCTATCAAGTGACAATCCTAAGTATGGGTACAATGCTGCAACTGGAAAGTATGAAGATCTAATGGCGGCTGGAATCATTGACCCGACCAAGGTGGTGAGGTGCTGCCTCGAACATGCCGCCTCCGTGGCCAAGACGTTCTTGATGTCGGACTGTGTAGTGGTTGAGATCAAGGAACCCGAGCCAGTGGCTGCCGGCAACCCCATGGACAATTCAGGTTAGCGGCTATAAGTGAACATCTCATCGAATTCTTGGTTTTTGAAGAGCACTTGCTGATGTAGTTAATGGTACTTACAATCGGTTGCGGTGTTGCTTTTTTCAGGCTATGGGTACTGATGATAGTAGGAGATCCGGTTAGAGGAAAAAGAAGCAAGAGCAGAGAACAATAAGTGGCACTGTAGGGGGGGTGGACCGAGGTAGTTTGGCGCTTCTATGAATGTACATTTTATGATATATTTTATTGCAGTGGCGGCAGAGTAGTGTCCGGTGTAAGAGCATCTCCAATGGTGCAAATGGAGGGAGTTGCAAGTTGAGGTGGCATCTATGTGCAATTGAAAAAGTGGATGACATTGATGCAAAACCACTTTCAAGTGGTGAAAATTTACACACCATGAAAATCTGACATGGAATTGCAAGTGGGTCCTTAGTTGGTTTTTGTTTTTCTTTCTTCTTTTCCCAATATTTTGTGTGGTATTAAAATGTAAGTGGGACCTAGAATTGCAATTGCATTTGAATGACATTGATGTAGCTATATGAAATTGATGAGTGAAGTAATTGCTAGAGTTGTTTAGGTGGAAGTAGGGACCACAAAAGTGAAGAATGATTGCATTGTTGGAGATGCTCTAAGAGGTGACGACAAGCATGCTCCCTCATTATTATTATTATTATTATTATTATTATTATTATTATTATTATTATTATCTTATAGCGGACTACACTTTATTGTCCAAATTTGCAGCTACTATTTCATTTTTTGTCGGCTAGCGAGGGACTACTAGAATTGACGGGCCGATCTGAAAAGTGAAGAGAGCTACTACACGAAACCCTTCCCATCCCTTCACCGCAATCACAAGCAACCCTTTCATAGTGTCTCATCCCATCCTCTCACCATTTCAAGCTGTAGACTCTTCCCTACACGCAACCACCTATATCCTCACCTTACTCCTTTGAAATTAGAGAAGACCCCTATTCTCTGGTTCTATCATTCCTTTTCAATTTCAGCGGCACCTCCTCTTCCTACACCCAATTCTTCTGGCCACCTCACCACCTTGAACTACACCATCCTTTTGAAGCTAGCATGGACAGATGGAGACCCTAGGCGCTCCGGTGGATTCTCCAAGTTATCGACAATGTGGACGAACGAAATCGGTGAGTTCTCTTTCCCCTATTAGTTCTAAGAAGCCAACGGTTTCCGGCATCCACGCATATCTCTTCATCGGGATCTTTAGTTTTTCCCTGTTTTCCTAGGGTCTCATCAGTCTTATGTTAGGATCCTTCTTCTCTACTCATCGTCATTTTTTCCTGCTCCTTCACTCTGAATCTTAGTTTCTTTTCTTTTTCGCAGCGGGTAGACTTCGTCTCATCTTGGGCCGTGATGACTGGATTCGTGGAAGAGCTCGGTATTTTTAAGTTCACGGTATGAGTAGATTAAAATGATGAAAGATTCAATGCTCTTTGTTCCTTGGTTCTTTTATGGATGAAGTTTTATTTTAATTTATTTGCCTTTCTCCTTCAGATACATATATCATCCAATCTGGGTACTAAATGGGAAGAGCTGCAGGATCATACCAGCAACAATACGCGAACAGCGGTGAGCATTTTTTGGGTGGTTCCGGTGGGATTGTGTGTGTTAGCTCTCCTGCCATTTTTCTTTCCCAACAGGTTTCTACTTACAAGTTACAATTACCTCTCTTTGTTTGTGTTTTGGATTTATATTGCTCATGTTTGTTGTTAAAAAACCTTGGTTTATGTCATTAGTTTTGTTCTTTGCTGCTCAGCTTTGGAAGCCGATAAACAACGATCCTTTCGCCGTATACAGAGCCCGCATTCCCACCGTCAATCAATGAAAAAAGCACAAATCTTACGACTTTTCAGGGTTCCTAGCTCCCAATTCCATCACCTCTCCAGTATCAAACTGCAAAGGAGACGTAAGAGGAGTTCGAGCTGGCATTCAGTTCGTTCTCCATAGAACTCCGAAGCAGTAGTACACCGACAGGAGGGTATGGATACAGGTAGGAGAAAGATGAACTGATTTGTCTGCTTCCAATTAAGGTTTAAAGGAGCACTGTTGTAGGGAAGTTTTAGGTCCCTCCCAAACTTATTTTGTTGGTAGAGTTATGGAGCCATGGATATGAGTTTAATAGATTAGATTAGAGAATTGCCGAACTCATTTTTGCATCTATGGTTGAAAGACCATTTCCAAGTTTGCCCTCTGTCGAGTTTAACCCAACACCCACTTCGTGGACCTTATTAATATTTCGCAATAGGTCCTTCCCACTTTTGGGTATATATTTTGATTGTTTTTCTTCTGAATTAAAGCCTTACTTCGTTTACTTCTTCAAATTGGTTTTGTTCTCAGTTTCAAGCAACATCAATTTTGCTGAAACTTCCTGACTATCTTTCTCCTTATATGTGATTCATACAATCTTTGGTGTCACAGGATGATGCCGAGGAAGAAGACGGTTGTCATGATCTCGATTGTGAGGTCCGAATGAAAGGAATTGCTAAATATCGCGCCTGAAAAAAGAAATGGTAAGTCTGGCGGGTATGTTGTTTGGTTGGTTTTGTAGTGGCAATCATGCCACTACATATACTTCTAAAATTTAACTTTTGTGTGCTTTTTATTTCTTATCGAGGCTGTTGTACTCGAACTGTAGGCGAAATGGAGTTTCAAATCCTTTTGAATATGAAATTGGCTGTGATTAACATGAACATTATAGTTGGAGGCCTTTTTTGAATGAAAGCCAATGTTGTACTTGGCGGGGAGGGTGGAATTTCCTTTCAAAGATGTCAAACTTTTTCGTTTGCTTGCCCTGCATCATGTTCGTACGCCCGTACATGTCATTGATCTCTTTCCCCAACCACGAAATTGGGATTTTGGTTAATTGAAAGATATCAGCTGACACAAAAATGCACAACAGTTCTTTTATTAGCCATTTCATGGGATTTTATTAGTCTATGTCCTTCTGTCAATGGATTGTTTGGAAAGGGGAATTTCAGCCATGCATTAAATTGATGTGGTGAATTTGAAGCTCCCACAGTTAGGGAAGTTGCTGGGATTACAACAACATTTGCAGGGCCATTCGTGGTTATGCTGCAGCTTAAGAGAGAAGTATGTGCATTCTTTCCATTTGTGTGTAAGTGATCTCTTTATGCTTTTGAATTGTTGTGTTTCTTACTAAAGATGATTGGCGCTGCAGTGGGTGGAGTTATGTATTCCAAATAAGCTCCGAGACACAGAGATTCCGGGGTCAGCTTTTGAGGTCATTACCCTCTGGGACCCACTCGCCTTTGCCATTGCATCCACCTGCCACTGCAGATCAGACCTCTTATGTCCAAATGGTGTTGCACTGTAGAAGTTGGCATTTAATTTCTTGCCGCATTTGAACCCCTGTTATATGCTTATCTGGTTGGTACATGTAAGAGCACCGATCGTGTTTTGGCTTGCATCCAATGGCGCCGCAAGTTGGGACCTTATTTCACTTGCACATTATGTTTGGTTTATATCAGTACTCTTGAATTATCTAAATCATTATGCTCATGTAATATGAATGTTGTGACATGTCTTTCTTTCAGCCATGGAAAATGATGTTAAGTTTCTAATGTGTTGCTTCATTGTGGTTATGTCGTGTGATTGGCATGAAACCTATATGTCTTTCCTCAAATATGGAAAATTATTCTCCCACTGGTTGCTCAGCAATACGTTGATCCCAATAACTCGAGTTGTTGGGAGATGTTCAACCGTGGATCATATACAACAACACTAACATGCCCCCTCAAACGAAAGCCACTCACAAGGGCTTGAAGTTTGCACAGGTTTGAAGACAAGAATACCATGTGCTTAACAAATGGGGGTCATCGGGAATCGAACACAAGACCTTTTGGTCACAGAAGGCTTTGATACCATGTCAAGAATCAGTTGATCCCAATAACTCGAGTTGTTGGAAGAGGTTCAACCGTGGATCATATACCAATACCACAACACTAACACTTATATCAGAGCAAATTGCAACAGCCTGATTTGACCATAAACTAAACTGGTTATCCATTCATCACGACTCTGCAACTTAAGTCCCCGCCGCGTAGCAGATGGCATTTTTTATGAGTTTTACTTTTAATTGCTGGGTTTGGACTGCCAAACCTGTTAGTTTCCAGGTTACCCTTTCTATTAGAATGTTGCTGTGTTTCTACTGATCCCACAACAACTTGTTTTTTATTGTTCTCGAAAGGATGTGACAACTTCAAAGTCCGAAGCTGGCCAGCTGGGTAACAATTTCGGCGCCACAAAACACAAAATTACATAGAAGCAGCAGAAAATCAGCCGACACTCGTAAAACTGCAGTTTGGTACCGATTTTGAAAAAAATGAGCTGAGCAAAACGAAAAGAGGATACACAGAAGCAAAACCATAAACTTGAGTTGCTCCCTCTACTATTTCACAAGTTGTTTGTAATCTATTTGTTGAAGCCCTCTTCCCGTCCTGCCAATCTTGTTTTTATACAAAGTGCAGAGTGCTTTTAGTCTTTCCTTGCATGCCAACCACAAGACTAAAGAAGCTGATGCTGTAGGAATCCGTGGTGAGCTGTTGGTTATTTGCTCTTGAAACCAAAGAGGGACTTGATGGCATTGATTGCGTTCTCATTGATGAAGGATTCGTCAAATCTCTTGATAAGAGGATCAAAGCCAGGGGATGCTCTCACATTAGTCAAGTCTGGATCTGTCCTGATTCTCTGCTCGAACAAACAAAGAAAAAGCAAGCAGCAAAATTAGTGCGAGTAGGTGTTGATGTTGACTCTGAACTTCATGTTGTCGAGAATAGCCCTAACCTTGAAGTCCTCGAACCCGGATTTCATCGCTTCCTCAAGGGCAGAGAGGCCAGCTTGGACCTGGTCGAGCTTGGAGTAACAGCATGCAACATTGTAACTGGCCACAGCAGCTTCATCTAGCTCCGGCTTAGACCCCAACACCGACTCGAACTTCTCCAGTGCCTCCTCATATTTCGCCTCCCTGCAAATCCCATCAGCATTAGCCTTTGCCTCGGTTTCTTCTATAACTGAAAGGTTTCGAAATCAAATTCTAGTGACTGTTATTGTTGAACAATTGGTTTAAGCACCGAGTCACAATCGACCTGTATAAACCTCAAACTCATTACACAGAGAGTGTGTTGATCTGTTATCGGAAATTGACATTCGCATTAATTGGTACTTGGCATTGTGGGTTTTACTTGTAAAGTTGGAGACCGACACGAAGATCGTCTGCTCTTTGCTGTTTCTGCTCCATTTTCTTCATGTAGTTTTGGAGCTGCACATTACCATCAAGACAAGGTATTGAAGGGAAAAGGTTGAGTGGAAGATTAGCAAAACCTTGCTCAAACATATTCGACGCATAAATGATTGGCTTGGCTTGGATGGCAATAACAAGTCACTCACTTGAATCTCTCTAACTTTGTTGCTCACAACACCAGAGTTCCTCTCAGCTCTTATGATCTCCTTCTCCGTTAACTCACCCGAGTAATCCGTGCTGCCTGCCAAACAAAGCAACGGTTACGATTGATATTGGTGAGGAATACTTCCTTTAGATTGGTCCTGGTGATTCATCACACATTTCGTTGATGATATATGCAGTCGTACATACCATATCGCTTCTGCATACGCATAAGCAACGGGCCAATTCGTTGGCGAATGGTGTACATCGTCCTCCCGTACTCTGCCGCCGGCCATATCTCCGTCCCAAATACGGCACTGCATACGCCGGATTCCACACAATACCATTTTTCCTAATCACAACATTTTTCTTCATAAAAGAAACGGCTCAGTATCCCACTATTATCAGTATGAATTTATCAGGGATCACCTGGTAGCGACGACTCTGTCACCAACGGTGAAGAGGCCGGTCTTATCGGCTGCACCACCGGGGGCAATCGCGTCAATGTAAGTCCCACCGTCTCTTCCCTTGGCGAATTTCAGACCGTAGGGCTGAACCAGCTCCACTTCATACTCTTCGTACTTGTTGTTCTGTTCCTCGGCGTCTGATTGCTGCTGCTCCGCTGCTTTCGCCAAATGGGCAGTATTCCGTCTGCCGATTGGCGGGTTTTGATGGGTTCTTGCGATTCCCACCGCAGCGAAACTGATTCGAGAAATTGGAGCTTGGAGGAGTGGGAAGCGTGGGTAGGAGCTCCTTCTGCAACCTCTGGCGCCGCCATTGCTGCTGCAGCTAGTGGTTGATGGAGTTGTAGCTAAAGACATGACGGCTTTGCCGAAGAAATGGGGGAATGGGCTGCTAAAGGAGTGGGACTTCTAACAGGAAAGTAGTGGTGGGAAGAGGGCGGGAGCGGATCAGGACACTACAGCAAGGCGAAAATGTAAGAAGAAGAAGAAGAAGAAGAAGAAAGGAGAGGCTGCCATTGCATTGGATTTCATCGTTTTCCCTTTGCAGTAAATGACTAGTGGCTATCCTTTTCCTTTCTTCCGTTTCTACTTGCTAATTAATCCTAAAAGCTGCGACGTGTTTGACTTCTGACGTCCATGCCCCTTTTAGCCGTTGGATTTCGGGATCAGTTAGCGTGACTACCCCTAAAGGGGTAGTGATTTTTGACACCCCTTTATGATTGGCTAATTTTATTTTCAATCATTGGCAAGTATTAATTAAACTGATTTTTTATTTTTTTTAATCTTGTAATTTGGGGTCTCTCACCACATTGGAAAAGAGAAAGAATCTGGGGAAAAACGAAATCACCCCCATTAATTACATAATTAATTTCTCTCACTGGTACATTAATTACACGTACCACTCCACTGGTACACGTACCACTCCACTGGTACACGTACCACTCCAATGGTACACGTACCACTCCACTGGTGCGAGCAATCCACAAGGTAGGTTAGAGTGAGAACAATACCAGTGCAATGATATTTTTCATAACAATGATAAACAATAATAGGGAAAAAATAGGAACTTTCCATTAGTAGCCAAAAACTGTGTACCAGTGGAGTGGTACGTGTAATTAATGTACCAGTGAGAGAAATTAATTATGTAATTAATGGGGGTGATTTCGTTTTTCCCCAGATCCTTCCCCATTCATAATTACCAACGTTTTTCTCCTTCCCCATTCATAATTATTATCACAATTAAGGCTTTCCCAATTTACAAGATTACAATAAATAAAGTAAAAAGCTTAAATGGAAAAGTGACCAATCAAGAGGAGGGTGTCAAAAACCACTACCCCTTTAGGGGTTAGCATAGTATCCGACCCCTTGGATTTCATCATAAGTTGGGGTTTGTGATAGCATATCCATTACCAAGTAATAAGTCACCCGTCCGTCATTGACTTGGTTCACTTTCACACCTTCTTACCAAAGTGAAAAGTCTAAATTGGTAATATTAATAACGTTTGGAACGTAAACAAAACGTGTCAAATCAAATCCAGGAACTAATTTATAGAAACCCCGGCGGCGAGGATGAAAACGCCTCTCCATCTCTCTCAAGCTCCAGTTCGGAACCTGAAGCTGAGATCCCGGCGATCAGAGAAAGCCTAATCGAGCGATCAATCAATCGGAGAAGGTTAGATACTCAATCGGTGCTTTGTTTTTGCATGTAAATGTTTATCGGGTCAGTATTGAGTATACTGTGTTTTCGTGTTTTTGGTGAACTAGGATCTAAAGTTGCAATTTCACCGCAGTCGGTTTCTGGGTCGAGGATCGCTGCTTGAAATAAAAGGAAAAGGGGGCAAGAGAGGCTCGCTTGCTTTCTTGGTTTTTTATACAAGGAAAATCTGGCTTCATTTCCTTGATTAGTTTCCTCGGGGACGAATTGGTCTTTCTTTTTCGTTTATTGTTTCTCAGATGGCTTCCGTTCTTGGGAGATATGGAAGAAAATGGTCATTGGGTTGTGTTTCATATCACAAAAACCACCTCCCTCGATTCTCCACAGTAACCCATTCGGCTGTTCCTTCTGAACCCATTCAGCAGCAACAAGCTGGCAGATCAATGAACCTCTATTCTGCCATCAATCAAGCTCTCCATATCGCATTGGAGTCTGATTCTCGGTACTAACTTCGATGCTTCACTCCAAGATGCTTGGATTCTTTGTTTGATATCCCTGTGCTTTTGTAACTCGATTTGTCTCTGTCTCAGTTCTTATGTGTTTGGTGAAGATGTTGGGTTTGGAGGGGTCTTCCGTTGTACTACCGGATTGGCTGAACGATTTGGTAAACATAGGGTATTCAACACCCCACTTTGTGAGCAGGTATGCTTTCTTCTGATGCGTTTCTCCTCCATTTCCCACCAGCCTCCATTGTTGCCGTGGAAAATGTGTAGTGCATCGCTTCTTTTGGCTTTTGTGTAGGGCATTGTTGGATTCGCTATTGGTCTGGCAGCTATGGTATGTCTCAGTTCTCAATCCAAGCTTTGCAGAAGCTTTTGTTACCTCGCCTGTGATAGCTCATAACAAGATTGTTCTCTCTTATTTAGGACAATCGAGCCGTAGCAGAAATCCAGTTCGCAGATTATATTTTCCCAGCTTTCGACCAGGCAAATACTCTCATCCGAACGCTTTAGTTTTCCCCACTTCCTCTACAATGTCCTCTTAGCTAACCTCGCAGTTAACTTGCCAGATTGTTAATGAAGCCGCAAAGTTTAGGTATAGAAGTGGAGGCCAGTTTAATTGTGGAGGTATGGAACCAAATTGCTGGCTACTTGTTCTTCAGTGCGTACTTGGCATATTGACGGTTACTTTAGCTTCCAGATGATGACAATGATGATGACGGCTCCTCTGGCTTTCCCAGGTTTAACAATAAGAGCGCCATATGGAGCAGTGGGTCATGGCGGACACTATCATTCACAATCCCCTGAAGCTTTTTTCTGTCATGTTCCTGGTATAAAGGTATATCTGCCTTTCTACCTCAGCTGTTGTTGATTGTTTAAATGTCTTCGACCTCAGAAATGGAGGAGTTCATCTACTGCGGTGCTTCTCCCTTGGGGACTAAATTTGAAACTGAAGAGTTTGCTCATACACTTTGGCCCTTCTCCAGTATATCCTCTCTCTTTTTTTTTTTTTTTGTGCTTTAGATTCACAGCTGATATCATGATACGCTTAGTCAAGTTTTCTTGTAGGGGAGTGAAAATACTTTTGCTTTGGTTTCAACATGAACCATTTCCTATAATTGTTCTCCTGCGAATCATACTCGAGCCAGCTCGACTGCAGCGAATTCAACATGTTCTCCATTCAATTAAATTCATACTTGGTTCTTGACTAGGTGGTTATCCCCCGTAGCCCCAGTCAAGCAAAAGGATTACTGCTTTCAAGCATACGGGACCAGAATCCTGTTGTGTTCTTCGAACCGAAGGTACTATTTCAGAGACAATTATTTTGACGGTTTGCTTGTAATGTGTAACTGATTCACTGAACGAATTATACCTACATTTGTTTTGTATATCAGTGGCTTTATCGGCTATCTGTAGAAGAGGTTCCAGAGCATGACTATATGTTGCCTTTATCTGAAGCTGAGGTATGCTATGCCTTGCATTGCACAGGAAACCTCGTACTGTGTTTTTCTATGTAATTTTTACAGATAAAAGTATGTTTACTCAGGTGATTCGTGAAGGCAGTGACATAACACTTGTCGGCTGGGGGGCTCAACTTTCCATCATGGAACAGGCCTGTATCGACGCAGAAAAGGTGACTGATTTCATGAGCTACCCCATGCTTCCTTTGTTCACATTGTCAAATGGTCACACTTCATTTAACCCCAAGGGTTGGCCTAGTAATATGGGGATTAAAATATCCACCAATCATGGGTTCGGCTCTTGGGACCAACAATCATCTGAAAAATGGTCACGCTTCACTTATGTGGTCTAACATGTGCTGTTCAATGATTCAGGAGGGAATTTCTTGTGAATTGATAGACTTGAAGACCCTAATACCTTGGGATAAGGAGACAGTTGAGGCTTCAGTTAGCAAGACGGGGAGACTACTCGTACGTGAGATTTAATAATGATAACTATTTATTTAACTGGAAAGTGGGCCTGTGGTTAAGATGAGAGGCACATTTTGTTTGTTGGTTGACGAGTAGGTGAGTCATGAAGCACCGATTACTGGAGGTTTTGGTGCTGAGATCTCTGCGTCAATTGTAGAGCGTTGCTTCCTAAGGGTGAGCAAGCGACCACTTAGTTCTAATTACTGCTGTGTCATTATTAATAACAACCGTCTTTGTTCCTGTGGGGGGAGTCTCACTAGTTAGTTGACTGAACGAATATGGCAGTTGGAAGCTCCAGTGAGCAGGGTTTGTGGGCTGGACACACCTTTCCCTCTAGTTTTTGAACCGTTCTACATGCCAAACAAGAACAAGGTAAGCAGAAAATATTGGTTCCCTAAAATCTGTGTAACTACTTGGTGTTCAAGTGCATCATGGCAGTTGGTTTTTGGGTGATAATGCAGATACTGGACGCCATAAGATCAACTGTGAACTATTAGCTCCGGACGCTGTGTGATAAATAAGCAACACAGCTGAAGTAGGAGACGAAGACATAGAACCCAACAAAAGAAGAGCCCAATATTCTGATTTCAGTGTGTTGTGCTTGGGAAGGTCAATAGCTTTAGTGCTTGTATTTGTGCGATGTGCCTTGTTGTTGGATCATGTATTGATTTCAGTAATGAAGTTGAACCAACTACTTGACGAATTGTTGAAAACATCATTTAGATATGGTGACTTGATTGAACCGCACTTGAGATTGATTTTTTTGCACAATCACTGTTAGTGTGGGTGACAGTTTACACAGTTCGAGTATCTGTGATTTTGAGAAAGGAAAGCCAAATTTTGAAGTCCACAGTGAGAGTAGGGTTGCAAACGAGCCGAGCCGAGTTTTTGCTTAGCTTGAGCTCGGTTCGTTTGTAATTTTTTCAGCTCGAACTCGAATTTTGATAATCTAACTCGAGCTCGGGTCGATTAAAAATAATCCAGCTCGAGTTTGATTCGGTAGAGCTCGGTAAATGCTCATTAACATAGCTTGCCAAGCTGAGTATAAGCTCGACTTTAGATGAGCTCGATTCAAAATCATTCCTCCTGAAATATGTGTACACATAAGAATATAAATAGATAAAAAGAACACTAGAAACTAAAAATAAATTGTTAATTTTCATACACATCCTATTAACAAGATAATGTTTATTTTCACAAATAATTAATCCTTCTACAAGCTCTAAACAAGCCAGCTCGTGAGCTTAGCTCAACAAGCCACCGAGTCAAGCTAGCTCACAAGCTTATCAAGCTAAGCATGGTCTAGCTCAAACTTGAATCGTTCACTAACGAGTAGGCTCGCGAGCCGGCTTGTTAACTTACAAATGAGTTTTTTCCGATTCGAACGCCGAGTTGCTCGTGAGCGGCTTGGCTCATTTACTTCCAAGTGAGCACTATTGCAAGATACAAACACACAAAAGACGGCCAAATTTGAAGACCAAAACACAGCTGAATTATGTTGGAATTCCTTTTCATTCAAGAATTTATACAACTGCTGAATGGGGAAAGGAGGGACCGATGGAGAAGCAACCAACTCTTTATCATTCCTCGACTCTTTTGCTTTATTACAAAAAAATTCCACATTGAAAATGGAGGGTTGGCTACTCCACTGGTAAGCGATAGCTCCGGCCAGCTGCGTGCTGCTCCCTCCTTGACTTGGAATTCGAAGAAATTTTCAGGCTGCACTCCAGCAATACGATTCCAGAAAACCACAAGTAAAGCAACAGAAAAATAAGGAATCATCAATGGAAGGGAAAATAGTAGCCTCAGAGATCTTGGTGGTAAGGAATCATCATTGATGAGACAAGCTCACTGTCAAGAGTAGCAAATATATTGATTCTACATCACCGGCCCATTATTATTGATTGTTCCTCCCAACCCAGTTTAAGTTCAATACTTTACTATCAAGAACGATTTGAAATACAAAAATGAAAAGAACAGCTGCGGGCAGGGAGTGCATGGAGGCGGATGAGGAGAAGGGTCAGAAGTAGCTGGTGAGTAATCACTATAGATTCAGTGGGAATCCGTCTGATTTCTTTCATCAACCCCCTCTCCTCTCCTCTCCTCTAAGCTGCTGCTGCGGCTGCTTTCTCAACCGGAAGCAAATACAGCATGTTAAAGCTTTTTTTTTAAAAAAAAAGAAAGCCCCGAAACCAAGAGAAGAAAGAAAATTTGCGGGGAAAGAAGCCTATGTATCAACCTTGTCACCGACAATCCCCAGGGGAGGAAAGTCGGAGCTAAAAGGCAGAGGCGCAGTGGAGTCTATAATCCACGGCGCACTCTTTCACTTTCGCCTAACGATAGATTCCCATTAGAGATCTACTAAGGGACCGAAATCGAGATCAGGGAATTGCAATATCAGGCGCAAACGATAACTAACTCAAATACAGACACAAGGAAAGAAAAGTAAGCAGCTCCGCAAAATCAAACCCAGAGAATTGAGGGTGGTTAAGAATCCTGTATCCAGAAAGAACAGGTTTTGCTTCTTTCTCCTCCCCAATTCCCAACTGGCAGCCATGAGTACTGACTGCTGTGCTGCCACTTCTTCACTTTATATACGAGAGAAACCAGGGCGAGGGAGAAAGAGAGACTGGGAGATACAGCTAGGAGCTAGCTAGGGGAGGGAAGGGAGACACTCTTCTTTACTCTTGAGTCTGAACAAAACCCTAGTCCAGCCCAGTTAGAAGAGCCGTAGTTCGAAAAATAGCCCGGCCCAGTCACTAATTACCTACCTAGGAATAGCAATGGGCAGGTCCGGGGCGGGTTTCTTGGTATCCAGATCCGTCCCGTGGCAGGGCGGGTCCAGTTCGGGTAATTGATCACGGGTCGGGGCAGGTTAACCCAATGGGTATGCAATTTATTTGAAAAATATTAGAAATATTCATTATTTTTATTATAAATCTAAGAAAATAAACAATATTATAACAATTGTAGTTAAATTATTGGAGAAATTGAGGTTTTCACTAATTTACAACTTTATTATAGCTAAAATATGATGCGATAAAAGTAAAATTCAAAGTAATTTGACTAAGATTTCATGTAATTTAGACAAGAACGGGTCGAGAATGGAGCGGGTCAGGGCAGGTCGGGTCGATGAGACTACTCATGCCTGCCCCAAAACAGGTCAAACTGGTCGGGTAAAACGGGTCAGGTCGAAATTGCCATCCCTATACCTACCTACCTATCTATCTATCACTATCAGGCCTCTAAGTCGGCAGATTTTTACCGAAACTTTTGGGACTGCTGCTGCTGTTGCTGGCACAGTGAACATCTCTCTTTTGCTGTTGTTTTGCAACATCCATCGTAAAATCAAGATGGGCAGACGAAGAGCTTGCTCGCTCATTCTCCCTAAGTACCACCAACTAGTCTAGCCTAAAGTCAATTTCCAATACCAATACCACCACCAAAACGTTGTAGCAGATAGAATCTCCTCACTCCTCAGCATACCATACTCTTGATACCCACCACTTGATGCTTCTTCTACCGCTCCGATGAAATGGGTTTGGTGAGCTAGCGGCCTCCCCATAGTTGTTTCTTCTCCTCCATGACATGGTCGTCCACTCGTTGTTGATATGTTCCTTTGTCAAAGCAAACGGTTGTCGAGTTGTACGTCCTTCTCGCCAGCTGAAGTCACCTGAGCTACTTCGAATTCAAAAAGACCCTTCATGAATGTTGTCACACCTTAGCCTGAGACACTCGACAGGAAGGAGGAGAAATGGCGACGAATCAGAGAAGATGAATAGAGATAGATGTTGAAAAAAGAAGAGGGAAAGAGCTGGAAAATGAGAGAGATAGAGAGAGAATTGGAAATGTGGAGTTTGTTATTCAGGTTGTTAACTATCCGTTGCAGACGTCTCCTCCTTACATCCCTTCTTCTCATTATTACATTTTAGTCCTTTATCTTCTAACTACTAACAGACGAGGACAAGGTGTTACAAGTCTCCCTCCTTCACTGAAGATTTGTCCTCAAGTCTGGAATTCAAGATGATGCTTCTTGAACTGCTCCATAAATTCCCAAGTAGCGTCAGCCTCGTCCTAATGTGTCAATTGCACAAGATCTGTGTTGCAACCTGATTATCTCGAGCAACCACCCTCATGGGCAGTATCTTGAATGACTCAATCTTCAGCTGCCCTGACTCATCATAATCTGGTAAAGCAGCTTGAGTAGGCACCACAACAGCAGGTCCACGAGCCTTCTGAGTAGGGATACATGGAACACCAGGTGAATGATGGATGTGGAGGGTAACTTGAGCTTGTAGGCTACTGCTCCTATCTTCTTGATGATTTGAAAGGGCCTATAGTACTTGGCAAAGAGCTTTTGATTCATCCTTGTAGCCACAGTGACTTGTCTATAAGGCTTAAACTTCAAATAATATCATTGACTGCAAATTCTTTCTTCGTCCTATGCTTATCAGCCATCTGTTCCTGTCAATTATGTGCCTTGGCCGAATTATGTCTCAGTAATCCAATGGTCTTCTGTTGTTGTTACAATTTCTCTGCCACTGCTGCTACTGTTGTAGACAAGGGATTCTTGATCTCAAAATGCGTGGGTGGATAGCCATACAATGCTTCAAAAGGGGGTCAAATGTAGCTATTGTAGTAGTTAGTATTGTACCACCACTCAACAAGGGGCAGTCAATTGTACCAGTTCTGTGGAGCTGTGCGAGTCATACTCATGAAGTAGTCTTCTAGGCATCTATTAAGTCTCTCAGTCTGTAAGCAGTGGATTAGTGTAGGTCCACTCCTTACAACTCAAACAACTTAGACCAGAAGTTGCTAGTAAACACTGCATCTCTGTCTGATACAATGGTCTGAGGCATACCATGTAACCTGAAAATTCCTTCAAAGAATATATGTGTCACTCCTATTGCAGTATAAGTTCTTGTCAACCCAAAGAAATATCCATACTTTGAAAACGATCCACAACCACTAGTATCGCTTCTCTACCCCCAGACTTAGGGATCCCTTCCACAAGATCCATAAAAATGTGTTGCCATGCTCTCTCTGGAATGGACAGTGGTCGTAACAACCCAGGATATGGTACATTTTCTGATTTGCACCTTTGACACACATCACATCACCAACTAGCTCCTTAACTTGCAACTTAATTCATGGCCACCAAAAAATACTTCTTGAGCCTTTGATATGTTGCATGTACCCCAAAATGCCCACCAATAGGAGAGTCATGAAACAAATGGAAGATCTACACCCTCATGTCTCCAACTGATCCAACATACATAGCATTCTTATGATATAGTAATCCTTCTTTCAAACTGTAAATCTGGGGACCTGTGAAAGACACTAATGTTTCCATCGTCAACTCTTGCACCATAGCATCTGTCACATATGTTTTTTCTACTTCGACCAACCAAGATGGCAACACAGTAGTGATACCCTTGCATTCCCCTACCCCATGAAAATCTGGATGCCTGGAAAGAGCATCAACTACTGATAAACCGTCATTTGTACTTGTTATTTCCCACTAATCTTGCACCGTTTGAGAGTTGGTTCTCGTGTTTTAAGTCAATTTCATGCTAGGTTGTGCTTTTATGTTGTATTTCAGGACCTGGAGTGGAAAGGAAGGTTTGGAAGCGAGTTTCGGACCGAAAACACCAAGGAGGCGGAATGAGGAGTGTAAGGGCCAAAATCCCTGGTCTGATCATCAAAAACCCGACCGAAGAAATGGGCTAGCAACCGGGGAAACACTGCAAGGAAATTCCCCGGCCTGGACTCCCAATTAGCCAACGGGGAATTCCAGGTGGAGACCGGGTTTTTCCCTTTGAGGTTGCGCACCATTTTAAAGAAACCCGGCCGGTTCTCTTAAAACCCGACTGGGTAATTGGTCCGGGTTTCGGGCTCCAGGGCTGTTTCA